GATCCAGAAGTGTTGCTGACTCCTCTGGGCTCAAAGTCATTTAAAATGCACTGCGGTAAAGTGGACAAATGACCGTTGGTATGACGAGTTAAAGATTCTGATTCTGATGTGAAATATTGGACGCTGCATCATCGGGGCTAAAGCGGAGAGGGATGGGGGTGCATTACACAACGTCCCAACTGCTTTGGTAACAGGGTTATGTATGAGGTCAGTAAAACACACTCTTCTTTCTGTCATCTCTGTCCTCACTCATGTTCAGGCATCACGTCCATAAAGTGTTAAAGGAGCACTCAAACAATCTCTAATGTTTTGAATTTGGACTGACTTCATGTCCAGCCTCCTGAGACCCCTCCTTCTGTACGTCAGGGAAAGAGTCTCCTGCTGTGAGGGGCACGTTTGAAAACAGCTCAATTCCAGTCAGACATCAAATTACTGAATTATGATACGTTACCTGTTGGGGATTTTTCTTTACCTGAAAAGTGACGACTTCAGGCTTCAGATAAGAGAGGACAGAGCAGCTTACAAATTTCCTGACAAAAATACAATACAAAATACTAGATATCATCAGTTTCATCTTTTAAAGCCTCGCTCCCGGGTATCCTGTCAGTGTTATTAGACTCAGCGCCTTGAGATTTAGAGGCATCTCTTTTTAAAATAAATGGAAAGGCCCCTTCTTTTAAATGTGGTTTTGATTTGGAGTTATGTTACTGCCTCAGTCTGTTCTTTCAACTGTCTTTTTACACAGATTTGATCACAGCCGGTGTTCAATTGAGTTCATTTATTTGATTTTAGATTTTTCTGTCTTGACCTTTTATTGCTTCATTCATTTTTGGGGGGCGTTTCATGCCTATAATTAGAGACCAGGCAGTGGATAGAGTCAGAAATCGAGCAGAGAGAGAGTGGGGAACAACATGTAGGAAAGGATTTGAACCCAGACTGCCCACTTGTAAAGCCAGAGCCTCCGTACATGGGGCATGCGCTTTAACCAAAACTCTACCAGCGCCCCTCATTCATGTCATATTTCATTCATAATTTTTATTCTCTTGATCTTATGTCCCATCTTTGCAAAAAATAGTTATTTTCATCAAGCTGCTGTATGAATAAAGTTGATTTGATTTAGACTCAGTACCATGAATATCTGAGTTACCACAATGTTTGACAAACTTATCTTTTGACTTTGTTTCTTCGTGTTCAGAGTAAACTGATGCTCACAACTTATAGTCACGGGTGTTATAAATCATCCCTCCTCCTCCTCCTGCTCCTCCTCTTCTGATTCTGCTGCCCACCTTCTTCCTGAATGGGCGGAGCTTCAGAGCCAGCAAAAGCAGCCAGCTCACCTGTTACAAACTTTTTGACTAAAATGGAGCAGGGTGTCACACATGTGGACAGTTTGAGCTGTTGGTTTGAAATGTTAGTTTCCTTTTGGTTGAAAACATTAGCAGAACTAGAATCTTTCTTAACTGGATGAATGTAGTTTCTGCAGTGGATATGTTAAATCGTATCCTGGATATATCCAGACCTTTCCTAAATCTAATTTAACATTTACAAACAATTATGCCTTGAATACTGTTTTATCATTTTCCTTTCTTTACCAGACAAGTGGTACACCAGTTAAAACCATTAACATGAAGTATAAAACATGGTCTGTCCTAACCATTGGGTTGGTACTGATCATTAAAACGATCCATCAGAAAACAGTTTTCCCTCAGAATAAATATTCTCCATCGGGTCTCAGTCACGGCTCATAAACATCAATCAGTGTATTTCTGGAAGCGGGGCCTCACTGATTTCTCTACAAAGTACTTAATATACTTACTGGTTTGAGTGGAAACAGATTAGGTTTTATAGATTAGTTATTTGTTGAGGGCTTTATCCTCTGGCTAAACTCTTGTTGATTTCATGAAGTTTCTTGATGGACACATTGTCTTTTTGTAGACGCTCAGTTAGCTCAGTTAGCTTGAAGCAGGAGCACAGAGGCAGTGTGAGTGTTCACAGCCGTTTTCACACACAAACTCCAGACATTTTCGGGATAATTTCAATATACTTAGGCTCTGAGATTTTGACTTCAACACGTTAACTCAAAGTGGTAGATTTTCTGAGTCAGATGCTCTCACAACTGAACAGTCTAGTTTAGGTGTTTTTAAGCATTGGGAGGAGGTCATTACAATATGAATAAGGATTAAAAAATAATACAGACAACTGAGGCGATCAGGGAAGAGTTAAAGCAGGAAAAATGTGCGCAACGTGAAAGATGTCGTTGTACTGCACACTCACTCGACATGAATGTTTCAGACTATTACCTCCCGACACAGACTCTTGACTAGTGGCTGACAGTTTGGTTGAACATATTCGGCTGCTTTCTAAACACACAAACAGTCAAATCTGAAAACCAGACAAAGTCAGGACATTTTCAGGACTGCAGCGAATGTATTCAAGGCGGTAATGTTGGCAAATGAGCTTCAGACAAGAGGACCTTTTCCAGGCTGGGTAGGGGCCACAAACAAGAAGTCCCTGAGCACCTGCTCAGTCATCTGAGCAAAGTGACAGTCAGACAGTTATGGCTGTTTAATTGGACTGCTGCCCATGTCCCAGTATACAAACTCCTGGAGAGAATTGATTTATTGACAGAAGTATGTCCGACTCTAAAGGGTCGGTTGTGGCTCTGAGGTAGAGCCAGTCGTCTCTCAACAAGAAGGTGGGGGTTTGATCCCCAGCTCCTGCATCTACATGTCTTATGAGTTTTTGGGCAAGACACTTAACCCCAAGTTGCTCCTGCTGCTTTGTCAGCGGCGTATGAATGGGGTTAGTCCATACTGATGGATAATTTACATAGCATTGGTGTGAATGTGTAGGTGTGACATGTGGTGTAAAAGCAACTAGAAAAGCCCTATACAAGCTCAACTTTACCAATGTACCCCCTTTCAGCTAGTTACTATTGGGCCTTCTTTCGGCCTACTTACCAAACAATCGACAGAACAAAGTGAGCAAACTACAAACTGGTTGCATCTCTAATGGTGAGAACATGGACCGTTTTAGATAGATTTACTTTATTGATCCCAAACTGGGAAATTGTGGAGAAACAACTTTGTACAATTCATACATACTGTACTTTACATTTGCCAAGGCAGACAACCAGGCTGTTCATCTTCTGGGTCAAAGCCCGGTTGTGGAGCATGCTCAGAACACCTTTAGGCCAGCTTGGGACAGATTGAGGTGTGTTCATGAAAAGAGGAAATCGAGCCCCAACTGCATTCAACAGGTGTTTCAGTATGACTTCCAGAAATTCAACTAAAAACAATTAAAGTCAGACAAACATGTTTTCATTTATTTTAAAAATTCAGCTGAATCGACTCTTCGTAACATTGTGCACTGCAAACATACTGAGTGACTACATACGGCAGCTGACGACAGGTCATAGGGACAGATCCGTACTTGTTTTTTACTGAAAACATGCAAAATGGAGAGGAGAAAAATCTGCACTGAAAAGCTAAGAAGTAGCAAACAGAGAGTTTATTTCAAACTCAGTACTGTTGCTCTGTCTCTGTGTCTTCTCTCCTTGGATGGCTTTACTGAAATTAAATGAGCCCACTTCATGGACAGAGGTTAAGTACTCTGACATTTACAGCTTTCTGATGGAACCAGCAGGTAACATCATCATTTAACCACACTAAGGTCAAAAGCAGGCAGGCCGTGCATATTTTAGCTTCAACCTCAGATTCTGAGTGTCAGGGATATGGTTGTCACATTCTTCCTCCTGATGCCTCTCGATTTATCAGTGACAGATTTTGTCTTCTTAAAGCTTCTGTTTTTCCGACCAGGTGTTCATAAAGGGATACTTTGAAACACTTTTTTACCCCCGACACAGCAGTTTTTTTCAACATTTTTCTGTTTTTTGTTAGGGGAAGAAAGCAACGAGGAAACACCTTCATGCTCTTCAAAGTCAATGGCGAGCAGTTAATTGATTCCCTCTGGTGGGGCCGGGACTAAAGCGATTTAAAGAGCAGATCTTTGACTCAAGGGACTCAAGGGAGGTCGGGATAAAGAGGTCGGGATTAAGTTGGGGTGTGCCAGGACCCAACTCGGGAAGAAAGTCTTTTACAGTTAAACCCACCACCTCAGTTTGTTACTGCAAGCGTTTTACCATTTATTTATTTATAGGCAGCCATTAACCCCATACACTTTGTTTAAGAATAAACATTAACTGAATTTTATTTTAGTGAGTCTGGAGTGGGACATAAAATATATATTTATCAGATAGGGCAGCTGATGGAATGACATGCAGCAAAGGGCTGAGGTTGGATTCGAACCCATGGCGATCGATGAGGACGACATCATGGGCATGTGACATAACCGCTAGGCGCCCCATTCAAATACATAATGTTAATTAGATACTGACTGTACAGAAAGTGGAAACCACATAAATATTGACTTTTAGACATCAGATCAGCTGGTATCATAAATCTGAGGCTGCAGATACAACTCCTCTCTGTGATTTGTTGAATGAATGGTTGCCTTAAAAGTGCAGCAGCATGTCGCTGAGTGGAGTGAAACGTGTATCCTGTGATGAGGTTTTTATTTACAACGGCGAGAAATAATCTGCCTCTCTTGTGCCACGCGCCAGGCTGCAAATAATCCCTGTGTGTGTGTGTGTGTGTGTGTGTGTGTGTGTGTGTCTCCCCCCCTCGGAGCATGCAGGCTACAGATGTTCGTTCTCTCTCTCCCTCTCTCTCTCTCTCCCCCCTTCCTCTCTCCCTCTCTCTCTCTCTCTCTCCCCCGCTCCCTCTCTCTCGTGAGGATGCAGACTGGAGTATGATCGCGCGCGCACATTCCTCTCCATCAGCCTTGCGCGGCGGACTGATGCCATGACCGCGGACGCCTCCCTCCACCTCCACCTCCTCCTCCTCCTCCATCATCTCCTCCTCCTCCTCCACTGCTGAGCATGATGCGCTGCCGGCTGAGCGCTGCTGGAATGAATCGACTGAAGGACACTTTTACGGGACTCACCTGTGGATTTACGCCGTCAGGATGCCTTATGTGACCAAACCTCTGATTTTACTTCTGTGTCTGCTCGTTAGCGGGGAGTGTAGGAAGCACGGACACCGGGTGAAGAGATGGACCGGGACTGTGGAGACCCAAAAGCACGGCACGTAAGTGGAAACTACAATAAATACATGATTTTTAAACACATGGAGAAAGAGAGAAATGCTCAAATTTTCAATAAAACACCTCAAATTCTACTTTCATTATACACAATATTTTCCAGGAACCAGATAGAATAACAGCCGGCAATTTGGAGCATGATCTGTGACATGGGATTCACTGAAATATTTTTTTTTAATTTTGAAGAGTGGAAATAATCACATTACTCAGATTTCATTTTTTTTCTGAATGAAAAATAGAGTTAGAGTAGATGACAGGCTAACAAAAGTTTCAGAAGTTAAAGAGGAGATAAAGTCTCACCTGCAAAAAGTCAAAGATGAATTGTGGATGTTTGGTGAAGGGTGTGATTGACCAAAATGGTACAAGGAGTCTTTACTAAAACTTCCTTGATAGAAAATAATTCCTTCATTTAGCATGTCAGTGTCATACATAAATCACGTTTGAAGCCTGAACTTTGTGTGCTGCAGGAATGAGGTGTGGCAATCTCTTTGGGTTTATTGCACTAGCCTATGTGGAAAGGCATGCAACAGTTTGTATTTTAACACTCTGATTAACAAATGTGCTCATTATTACTCATGTTGAATTAATGGACAATCCTCAAATATTCATTTTAATGGTTCAAATGAGGCAAATATCTGCATAAACTGAATTTAGGAAACCTCTGAGTGCTGCAGCAGACATTCGCCCACACACACACACACACACACACACACACACACACACACACACACACACACACCCACACATGCGCTCTGCAGGAGGTGAAGCTGCCTGCAGGACACTGAGCAGCTCATCAGACAGTGTGTGGCTCTGGAGGACTCTTTGACAAACTGTCTCCTCCAGAAAAGCTCAGCAGCTGTCTAATCAGACAAAGACCTCTAGTGGTGGTGTGAGGTATGACAGGTGTCTGTCAGGAGGAGCAGCATGAGCTTCTAAAGAAGGGTGGAGGTCAGGGTGGATGAATGAGCAAAAATGCAACTTACTTTACAAAAAGAGCAGGCCTAGACTCTTTATTTGATCCACCACGAGGTCACCACTAAGTAACATTTAAAATAACAGTTGAAAGACAAATCTGACTTTCAAACTGCAGAGACCTCGAGCAGAACCAGACTGATGCTGAACAACCATCTGCTACAACTGTGTTGGGTTTGGAAAGAGCGATATGAGCCAAATATGGTCAGTTTGTTTTGTTGCCAGACCATATATGGAAAATAGAGTTCATACATGTTGCTCCGCCTCTATCCTGCCATCTTTGTTGCTCGCAGCACCCTGCTGTGAGAGTGTTTATTTGCTTTGTATAAATAAATAAAAAAAATCTTTTTACTCTCAAACATTTCTAAAGAAACACACTTCATTCCCATTTTTATAAAGAATTAGAATCTGAATGCTACCATCCAAATTAGAAATGCTTTATTGGAGGAAATGTGTTTATTTATCTTTTATAAATATTTAAAAAAAAAAGAAATTTGTCATGACCAAAAGAAAAAGATTGCAGATTCAAGCAGCCTAAATGACTTTCCTCTGGAGGGTGTCAGGGCTCAGCCTTAGAGAGAGGGTGAGGAGCTTGGAGTAGAGTCACTACTCTTTGGCATCCAAAGAAGCCAGCTGAGGTGGTTCAGGATGCCTCCTGGATGTCTCCCTTTGGAGGTTTTCCAGGCACGTCCAACTGGGAGGAGACGCAGGGTTGGCTGGAGGGATTATATATCCCGTCTGGCCTGGGGCCGATGCTGAATTCCCCAGAAGGAGCTGGAAAACATTGCTGAAGAGAGGGAAGTCTTGATTTACTTCTCCTGCTGGATGGATGGGTGGAAATCTAAATAAGAGTAGAGCAATAACGAGACAAGTGTTTGGAAGAAATAAAGCAATGTATGAAAAGCTCTGATTATTCAAGTAGTTATGTACAAAAAGTGTGGCATTAAACAGTAAGATATTACCCTTAGCACAGTTTGAATAAATAATAAATAATGAATGATGGAGGAGTTTGGACTGCAGTCAGAGTGAAATAGTCAAGGGTCAGGCAGGAATGACTTCTGTGGTGCATCGTGGGGGAACGAGTTTAGCACTGAATATGCACCAGCACATTGAGGAGGTGGGTGGGAGACATTTATCCAAGATGGCACCCAACTTGAAACAACCTCCTCCTCTCTGACTCGACGGTCAGAGTGCAGCTGTAAGTCAGTCTCACTGATCCACATTTGGAGTTTAAAGGTTTCCCTTTAAAATATGAGTCAAGATATTTCTGACGCACAACATGTTCTGCGCTCCAGGGTTTATAAAATAGCAAATGGACACGAGGTCAGTGGGGGCAAAACATTTATCTCGTCTTTTCTGCTGGCTGGCAGAGAACATGCATGCTGTGATGAATGAGAGTTGATTTAACCCAGTGTGAGGTCTAATTAGATTCACAAGCATCACACAACCTCACTGCTGATGATTGTGTTCCAACAAAGACACAAACACAGTTTGAGGGAGGGGAATGTGTGCAGCCTGGGAGCCAGTTTTAGCCTTGAAATATCCTAAATGTATTTGCATTTTCTTAACCATGAAAGGAAAAAAACAGCTTAAATGATGTGTACTTTTAATACAAAACCTTGACTATAGGTCGTTCATGGCTGCACACTTAACTCCTATAACAGCTGACATGTTTTGCTCGTAAAATGCAGGGAAATCAAAGTTTCTGTACAATCAGTGACTGTCAGTTGGACTCCTGACACTCTGTGTAAGAATAGGATCTGTGAGTCACTAGTTTTTAACAGAGAACAGATTTTACTGATTTTCATTTCGAGGTCGGTTCAGTTTAAGAAGAAAAAGATATCCTTTATTAATCCCACGATAGTAAATTACTTTTACATTCTGTTATTGAGAAATGCTTTCAGCGATATTTTTGACTTCCGCTGAATTCTTTTGTAGACAACGATGCCTGAACCGTCGTTGTGATACTCTGTTTGCAAAGTTTAGAGCATGCCATGCTGTTGATTCTGTATTGCTCTGTGTACAATCATGCAGCTAAAAGAAGAAGATCCTCCAGTTCTGCTACATCACTTTTTATCTCTTCCAAACTAAACCCAGTCTTTCTGCAGACTCCCCCCCTGACATATGTCTATTTGATCTCTTCTAGCTCGTTGGCAAAGAAGCCTCCAGATGTGACCAAGTCTCGCAAAATGAAGACGGAGCACCTGCTCAAAGTAGACGATCATGACTTCACCATGAGGCCAGCGTTTGGAGGTAGGTGGGGAGTGCTCCCCTGATAGTTTTACAGATATTTTACTGTCACACACACACACACACACACACACACACACACACACACACACACACACACACACACACACACACATTTCATCATGATCACAGACACACGGGGACACAAAACTCTGTAAGGGCCTGAAAAGATCAAATGTGATGAAAAGCTTTCGAAAAAGGGAATAAGCAGAGTTTGATTCACTCTCATGCTGATAGAGACAGAAAGCTTCTTATCACTGACTGTTTCTAATTTTGTCATCCCCTCTAAGTCTATTATTCATCAGATTTTAGAAGTTCATTTTAATGTCTCTGTACCAGATCCAGCTGTTGCCTGAGGCGTTATGTTTTCAATGTTTTTCATCTGTCGGCCCATATGTGAGTTCATCTGTCCATCCCATTCTTGAAAACCCTATCTCTCAGAACACCCCTAGAGGGATGTTCTTCACATCTGTTTTTTTTTTCTCCGCTTTCTAAAAGAATGGCGCCCCTTGTGTTCAATCAGTGGACATTGTCCCCATGTATGCCTCATCATTCTGCTGGGGATAAAAGGTTTTACTGATAATTGCATGCTGCAGACAAACTCAGATGTGGAACTTTTTATCCACATTGCAACTTGATTGGTTTTCTTAGGCATTTTAGGATGAATGTTTCTGGGGTTTTTTAGAGCAAAAGTTGAGGTGTGTGGTGGGTCTGTATACAAAATGGATCAAATATCATTGAAATTGGCCTCAATCCAAATAGATTCACTCGTCCTTGAGGTTGAAACTCATCAGAGACACATGAAATGAGTTCCATCAGTCAAGCAGAGGCCAGTATAACCTGACCTGTACTTCCTGGATTCTTCCCATAATGCTTTTTTATGGCGTCTATCATCAGAATATAGACTGTCCCAATTATTGAGGGGCTACATTTGAAGTCGTGTCTAAGCGGCGTGTCTAAGGCTCCTTCAAATGCGTCCTAATTTTCCCGGCCAACGAAGGATCCATCTGCTGCGTCCTTCATGGGCCAACACTTCCCAAGATTCATCGCCCCCCATTTCAAACAAGCTGGCAGACTGAAAATAGGAGCCTTCATTAAGTTGTGTGACATTACTTATGTTAGCTAGTTCTGGTACAGCTGTCGGTGGTTAGGCAACAGAGGCAGTGCTTAGAAACATAGGTGAGGACGGGGACAGCTGGTGATGCAAACAGGAGTTCTTTGTAGGCCAAGCCGTCTCATTTCTCATTTCAGATCAATGAGATCAATGGATGGATACAAGTTGAACCCCCCCCAAGTTGGATCATTTTCTCATAGACTTGTAAACAGTCTGACTTCCTTTGCAACCAGTGAAATTGCCCCCTGCTGGCCAGAGGAAGCAAAGCAGGGTTAAGACACTTCTTTGAAAAATAGAAAAATAAATTGTCTATAAATTATTCTTTACTGCCTTGTTTGAATTAGATCTACCACATAGTTCCTGTCAAATATTGGCAATTTTGAGCCCAAAAGATCTATTTTCTCTTCGTTCAGGAGTTGTTCTTTGACCTGTAAAAAAGAACAAGTTACGCCACAGGAGACTTTATACAGACAGGTCGAGGTGTTTTCCTCCAGACAAGTGAACTGACCTCACTGTGTTAATTGTTTGAGTGCTCCTTTAACACTTTATGGACGTGATGCCTGAACATGAGTGAGGACAGAGATGACAGAAAGAAGAGTGTGTTTTACTGACCTCATACATAACCCTGTTACCAAAGCAGTTGGGACATTGTGTAATGCACCCCCATCCCTCTCCGCTTTAGCCCCGATGATGCAGCGTCCAATATTTCACATCAGAATCACAATTTGTGACTCGTCATAAAAAGGGACATTTGTCCACTTTACCTCAGTCCATCTTAAATGACTTTGAGCCCAGAGGAGACAGCAACACTTCTGGATCTGGTTTCTACAATGTTTTTTCTTTGCGTGGTAGAGTTTCAGCTTACGTTTGTGAATGCAGCGATGAACTGTGCTCCCAGACACAACGTCTTCTGGAAGTGACGTCCACAACAGTCGTGTCTGTTTTTAAAGCAGTGCCGTCTGAGGGACCAAACAATTTAGTTTTTCCTCCTCGTCCCCTGCAAACAGAAATTCTTCACATTCTTTTTGAATCTTTGACTGCCACTGTCCCAACTGTCCTCAAAGCCGGGAGCTTCTCCAGCCTACTGTCCATCATCCACATTTATCCTTCTCCATCCCCTGCAATCATACCGACAGATATAAAGAGTTTTAATTCAGACTGACAATGTCACTAATCTCCTGATTTGTGTTTTTATGATTTCTCAGTGCGATAGATGTACAAGTTTTTGAAACTGATTCTCCAATTTACAAATCTTTTAAAAATCCCACTGGCGTTGCTCTGTGCTTGCACCATGTTTCATACACTCTTTGTTTAATCTGCATGCCTTCACATCTCTTCAAGGCTCGGTGCTTAATCTACACATAGAGATGTTTAATGATAGAGATGCTTCAAAAAGTAGCCCAAGGCTCAGTCTTCGCTGATACGCTCAGAAGTGTGCGCCTCTTGTTTCTCTTCTGAGCAGTCGCATCGCGTCTGCTCAGAAGTCCACAGAGCTTTGAGGGAGACATTTGGGTGCTGTTTTTTTAACACCCACACCTCTGCTCTGAAACAAATGGAGAAGGAATGAATCTTTGAATCTTCTCACTGTGAAGTTATTGAGAATGAGATGAAACGGTCGTTTTGCGAGGTCGCCTCTCCTCCCTGAGAGGGATGGTACTTCAGAGGAAGGCAGATCATGCAGCGGGAGGTCACAGTGGGAGGGGTGGAGGGGGGACTATAAATAGCTCAGGAGCTGCTTGGATTCCGAGCAGCCTTCTAAGCTGGAGGTATTATAAAGAGTCTCATCCTGCAACCTGTGTCCCTACAAAGGGCCGACGCCTCCTCGTGCGCTCAAACTCTCATTTTCATATTGAGTAATACTTTAAAGCTCCCTTGAGGATTTTTTAAGCTTGTTACGAAACAGACTCGGATGAACACAGATGCCTCTTTACGAGCTACAACACCATCAGTAATTGTAATGGCTGTTGTTGGTGACAGCGTGCGTCTGTGTCAGGGGACAAGAAATGCCTTTATTTGTCATTTTTGTGGCGAAGAGTCGAAGCGAGTAATGGTGCATGGACTTCAGCTTGTGTATCACTTTTCTTGTCTTCTGAATGTTGATAGTTTTTAGAAACACTGTATTTTTATGACATACTTAAAGGAAGAATGTACAACTTTTTGATCCAGTAGATGTCGCCCTTGAGCACCAGCATGAAACCAAAACAAACTTCAGTTTGGCCACGCCTCCTCCATACTGAAGCCTCCACTCTCCTCCAGAGACACACCTCCAACCTCTCTCCACTCACATTCACACAATGGAGTTATCAGTAAGAACGCACCATAATGAAGCACCATTAAGCACAAGCCGCGGACAAAATTGTTTCCGGCTCAAGCTGCAAACACCTGCTGCCTGCATTGTAGAGTTAGCACCCTAAAACAGCTTTATATTCAGGGCCGTCCCGTCCATGTAAACACGGCTCTGACAACAACACAGCCAGCGGGACTCGAGCTTCTCACTCATTGTAGACAGTCATGACTCAGAGACACTTTTACACAGGATAGTCTTGATTTCTGATAACTTTGTGTAAAATGTTGCACATTCTTCCTTTCAGAACAATGTAAACATTTCAAGTCTGTGAATGCCAATTCTTGACTTTTTACCTCTGTAGAATCTGAGTATAACTGATTTTTGCACATGTACATGTTATTAATTCTATAATTTTCCTAAACATGGATTAAAGTATCTGAATTGTTTTGCAGTAACTTGCCATATTTTAAGTCACAACCTTTGTATTGTAAGAAGTTAGCCAGTCTTCTCCTGCCGATACTTAGTTTCTTGTAATAGCACGTTTGGATCGTGAGAAAAAAACATTGTGATAAAGAGCAAGATTTATTACAACTTAGCTTTGAATTAGGGCTGTCAGAATTAATACATTAAGGTCAGAAAATGATTGCATACTGTACAGTTTTATAATTGCATTGATGGCGTGCTATTTTGCCAATTCATGCGCAGCGTAGCTAAGACACCGCAAAGACAGCAGCGTGTAGTCACAGTGATTGTCTCGTTTCACTTTTAAAAAAAAAAACCCTGATGACCCAGTGGACGATATCCACCTTCTGACATCAAACAATTCACTTTCAGTTCCCTTTAGCTGTTTGCATTCACATCTTGATCCGTAGTTCCTTTTTTCCCGTGGTTACGTTAATGTCATAACCTCCGGTCTACCACTAGTTTTGCTTATTTCTCTTTTGGTTGGATTTCCGTGTGGGGTGTATTTTTTGCTCTTAATCCAGAGTAAGATAACACATTAAGCTCGTTGATAATCCACGCTGAAGGGGAAGAGGGAGAAAGCCCATCAGTCGGATCACTGGATGTATGCGCTGCAGAGGGACTCATGTTATGATCTGTTAACCATACACCAAAGCTCTGTGTGCTTTTCAGAAAATATAGGAGGGGGGCTTAGCAGCGCTGCGGATTTACTGGAGGTCATAAAGTCAGGGGTGGAGGTTGTTTCACGCAGCCTATTACGTTAATATAACCTCCACCCTACCCTTAAAGGCACACAGCTTTATTTAACAGACGTCTATATGTCTGATGTCGGGAGAAATCCAAACACAACATAGACACAGTTTTTAAATCTTCTTCCATTTGACCTAAAAGCTTCAGTCATCAATATGAGATATTAAACGACGACACAGGGGAGATTTTTAGAGCATCCTATTTAAAATGATTTTAAATATAAACCAGAGCCTCTGGAAGTCTTAGCTGCACTATGTACGTCTGCTGATTAAGTCTTTTTGTTACATGTGGTGTAAAACAGGGTGACAAAGCGCATAAGCTTGGTTGTGAGGTCAGAAGTCAGAGCTTAAAGGAGTTTACAGCTCTGACCTCTGACAAATGTACATTTAT